GAGAGAGAGAGAGAGAGAGAGAGAGAGAGAGAGAGAGAGAGAGAGAATAACAAAGTAACAAAATTCGACCTATTACTTTCTAAAAATGGTCTCAGGTCTCAGTGCTGCTGGGAAAAGTCACGGACCTGGGCTGACCTCCGTGTACATCCCTGTTCTCTGATTCAGGTTCCTCTCTCTCGCTCTCCCTCACCACTCTCCCTCCCCGCTTCCCTCCCCTCTCATCAGCCAGGACCTCGATTCCACCAGAGTGAGGCTGGGGCACCTCCCTCCCTCCTCTCTCTCTCCTTTCCCTCCTAACAGAGGCTGGAGAACCACTGTCACTGGGGAATGGGCTTTTGTTAGGAAAAGGAGAGGGAAGGGAGGGACTCTGCGTCCCATGGGGCAGAGAATGCTCCAGGAGCCTAAAGATCTGAGTGCGAATCCAGATCTGCCACTGGCTAGCTGTGTGACCCTGGGCAAGTCGCCTCCCCTTCTCTGGGCCTCGGATCCCCAGAGAAACTCCTCCCCACCCCTTGCACCTGTCCAGGGTCTGCAGACCCCACTCTCCTCAAGGAACGCTTGGGGACGGACACACACACGGACACACGGACACGGACACACGGACACGGACACACACACACACACACACACACACACACATATATACGCCTTACCTTCGTTCAACGCTGGACCACATAAAACCCATGGCCACCCCCCGGGTCCCATCCCGGGCTCTGTCTACATAAATACAAACCCAAATCCCTTTAGGAAGCTTCCCTTCAATTTCCAATGGCTAAACTCTATTTCCCAGCAGCCTCTGCGTGGCTCCGGAACCCCGCCCCCCAAGTTTTCGAGGGCGGGCAGTCTGCTCTGGAAATGGATTCTGGGAAATTGATGCGCTGTGCGCAAGAGCAGAGCTCTGGCGTCTGTGAAATGTAGTCCTGGATTTCAGGCGGACAGCCTCGGTCTCCTTGTTTGTAAAATGAGGATTTTAAGAGCGCCTATCTCGTAGGGTTGTTGTGAAGATCAAGTGAGATACTGCATGTGAAGTGCTTTTGAAATCTTAAAGCAGCATATCAATATTGACCGTCGTCGTCTTGTTGCTGGACCATTGAGACCATGGCAGGGTGGGCAAGTTTGGCTGGATGCAGGAGTACAGACGTCACGTGAGCCGTGCACTTTGACAATATCGTAGATCCAGACATCAGAGGCCACTGAGTTCCACCCCCTCGTTTTACAGATTACGGATGAATAGTACAGTGATTTGACCACGGTCACTCAGGGAACAGGCATGAGAGGCTGGATTTGATCCCAGATCCTTTAACTTAAGGGTCGGTGACTTTTCCCTCTATCAAGTTGTAAGGAGCCTTTGAGTGAGGAAGGGGTCTACGGTAAGAGCATCCTCATCGTTTGTTGTTCAGGAGTTGCCTTTATCCTTCCTGCTAGGGTTTGGAGCAGAGGTTTCCGAACTTATTTGGCCTACCGCCCCCTTTAAAAAAAAATGCTCAGCGCCCCCCCCCATTTACTTTCTTTAACCCTTTGACCTTTTTAAAAAAATTTTGTATTATTTCAAATTTTTTTAAATGATGCATCATAAATTTAATAATTTATTGTAAATGTGTGGGTTTTTTCCTGCATTGAAATTTTGATGACACAATCTTGCCTCACAGTATTACACAGCACATATTTCTGCTGATCATCCTGGACTTCCAGATGATGATCTACTGGATCACTTACCAACACTTGCTTGTTAAGACCTGTCATGGGACTTGACCACTGATTAGTTATAACTTGCATTTTGTGTATTTATTTGGAAAATAATGTAATCACTATGACTTTAACTCTGTTACAAAACAGATGAAACATGTACAAAGGATTTTTCAAAATTTTCTTATCTTCTTTCCTTATGTTTCTACTGCCCCCTTATTTTTTATTCAAGGCCCCCCAATTGCACCCTAGGTTACTACCACCCCCTGATCGTTCCAATGCCCCCCAGGGGGCAGTATCATCCACTTTGGGAACAAACTTTGGAGGAATGGGAGAAGGACCAGGACTGTTCTTTCACCCTTTCCTTTCACAGATACAGAGTCCAAGAGAGGGGGGAAGTATTTTGCCCACATTGTACATAGCTAGTCAGTTTTAGAATCACAGAAATTTAGAGTTGGATGGTAAGTCAGCAGCCATCCAGGACTACCCTCTACAATAGAGTTAACCAAGCATTTTGCTTGAAGAACCACAATGAGCTAGAACCTAATACCTATAGGAAGCAACGCATTCTACATCCGGATACCTCTAATTGTTAGGAAGTTTTTTCTGCCTTCCATCCTAAATTTTCCTAATTGCAGCTTTCACCTGTTGTTCCTGGTTCTGCCCTTTAGGTCCAAAGAGAGCTGACCCAAATTCTCCATTGGTACTATGATCTCTTCAAGAAGTTGTTCCATCCAACAGTTAAGATCATAACCCATCTGATCCTGCTTATTCTGATAACTCCTGGCCATATCTTCCCCTAAATTCAGAAATGAGAGCAACATACTTTATCTTGATATTGTGACATTAGCAGTGGAACTGATGGGCCATCAAGCATTTCTCTCTCGCTCTCACCTTGTGACCAGCTCATGTTGCTTTTTTGGTCGTACATTTCTTCAGTGGTATCCTTTACTCCATCTTTTCTTCATAGGTCCTTATTTGTTCTGTGTTGTAGCCTGCTCACTCCCACTATGTGCCTCTCTAATGCCCATTGAATGATACTTTTACTTTTTTGGAGACTTTTGTGTTCAATGACTCATAACCAAACAGTACTAGTAGAATAGATATTGGTATTAAAAAGACAGGTCTTTATTTTAGGGAAAGGTTTGGGGTCAGTAGGGCAGGTAGATGGGGAAGTAGATAAAGCACCAGTCAGGAGGACCTGAGTTTGAATTTAGCCTCAGACACTTATTAGCTGTGTGACCCTGAGCAAGTCACTTAACCCTGTTTGCCCCAGTTTCCTCATCTGTAAAATGAGCTGAAGAAGGAAATAGCAAACCACTCCAATATCTCTGCCATGAAAACCCCAAATGGGGTCATGAAGAATTGGACACAACTGAAAACAACTCAACAAGTTGAGATCAGTAAGGGAGCTCTGCAATTTCTCACAGGCAATACAGCCTGCTCTCCTCTTGTTTAACTCTGGGAGCTTTGTGGAGTCTATCTAAGGTATATATACTAATAGGCATAGATTGTCCTAATTGGATCCAACCTAACCTATAAGTTGCCCATCTGGTTGAATGTCAGAGTCTGGACAAGAAGCATTTTTCATCTACTTGGTTTTTCTTCCACGTGTATGTGTCCCATGTAGTTGTGGGGGTCCCTTTGTTATGAATTCTTGTAGAATTAGTACAATCTTGGGAGGCCTGACCCCAAAGAAATGAAAGAGAAACTATGTTCTGTAGCACAGAAAGACTGGATCTGGAATCTGAAAACCTGAGTTTGAATCCTGGTTCTTCCACTGATTAGTCATCTCCCTAATCAATACACTCCAGTGGTTCCCACCTTATTGCCCTTCATATACTGTATGATCCAGTGACACTGTCTCCTTGATGTTTCTCAGACAAGACACGCCATGTCTCCATGGTGCATTTTAACTGACACGCTCATGCCTGGCATATTCTCCCTTCTCATGCCTACATCCTGGTTTCCCTGGCTTCCTTCAAGTTCCAGCTAAAATCCTACCTTCTATAAGAAGCCTTTCCTAATCTCTTAATGCTAGTACCTTCCCTCTGAAATTATCTCCAATTTATATATATATATACACAAATATTTTTTAATCTTTTAATTAAGGCAATTGGGGTTAAGTGACTTGCCCATGGTCACACAGCTAGTAAGTGTCAAGTGTTTGGTCTGAGGCCGGATTTGAACTCAGGTCCTCCTGACTTCAGGGCCAGTGCTCCATCCACTGTGCCACCTAGCTGCCCCCTATCTTCTTTTATTTTAAACTTAAATACTAAAACTTAAATACATAAGAAAAGTAAAAGAAACATATTATAAGCTCAAATATTAAAACTTAAATATAAAATAAAAAAACATGTCCTGTGTACAGCAGAATGTAAGAGAGGATTCAAAATATATGGCAATAAATTTCCATTTCAAGAAAGTCTATATATTAAATCCTACACATTGTGTTGAGAGCTGTCCACCTTTTCTTTGCTTCCTTGTAGGTTTTCTTTTGTTCTTTGCTGTACACTTTTTACTTTGTTCTTTTTTCCCCCTTCTTGCTCCTGCCCCAGGCTACAATTAAGCATGGCTATATTTATATATAGATATAGATATATGCATACATGTATGCATATATATATATATACACACATACATATGAACATATACTTTCCCTAACAGATTCTACTCCTAATCTTTGTTTTTATGTTTGTGCATATCTCTTATTTCCTATCCCTCCTGACTCCTCTACTTTACTTCCATGTACTACCTTGCCCTCCTGTTACTTGATCTAGCCCCCTCCAATGATCTCTCCCTTATCCTCCCATTCCCATAAATGTAAACACCCTTTTATATGTCTCTTTGACCTATTATTCCCTCACCCTCCCTTCTAAAGTTCCCTCCACAAATATTTGTGTACGTAGTTATTTGCATGTTTTCTCTTTTGTTAGATTGTAAAGGGCAGGAATAGTGTTTTTGCTTTTCTTTGTATCCCCAGCACTTAGCAGAGTACCAGGCGTAAGGTAATGCTTAATAAATGCTTATTGACTAAATCAATAAAATGTAGAGAAGATGGAAGAAGCATGGACAGGCACAAGAAGAAGAAAATGAAATGATGAAACTGTACCATAATGTCAGAAATGCTAAAGCTCAGAATGGGGTAAGATTAGCGAAGGAAGAAAAGGATAATAAAAAGGGTATTTGTCACACACAAGACACTCCATGCTCAGACTCAGTGCATTTTCACTAGCTGTCCCCATCCTTGAAATGCCTTCTCTCTTTGTCTCTACTTCCTGGCTTCCTTCGAGTCTCACCTAAAATCCAACTTTCTGTAAGAATACTTTTCCAGGCCCCCTTAATGCTAGTGCCTTCCTCTGAGACTATCTCCAAATTATTCTGTATATATTTTGTTTGTAAACGAATTTTTTTTAGTGTATTGTCCCTGTTAGACTGTGAACTCTTTGAAGGTAGGTACAGTTTTTGTCTTTCTTTGTATCCTCAGGATTTAACAGAGTACCCAACACATAGTAGAAGTTTAATAAATGATAGGACAAAGAAGAGAGATGTCAAGGACATGAATAGAATTTTAGAAAAATTGGATATAATAGCCCTCAGGTGATTCCTGAATGAAAATTGAAAGGAATATACATAATTCTCAGCTCTGCATGGCACTTTTACAAAAATTTACACATAAACAAATGCAGAAAAGCAAGGATATTAAACTGTTCTTTTATTGACTGCAGTACAATGCAGATTACAATCAACAAAGGGGTATTTGAAGGTATGATTCAAATTTAAATGGAGAGTAATATCCTAAAGAATATGTTGGTCAAATAATACATAGTAGAAACAAATAATTTCATCAGAAAAAATTAAAACAGTGAGAAAACATATCAAAACTTTTAGGATAAAGCTAAAGTAGTCAATAGAGGAAATTTTATATTTCTAAATACTTTCATCGACAAAAAAAGGGAAAGAACGAATCAAGAAATTGGGCATGCAATTTTTAAAAATGGAAAAGCCACAAATCAAAAAATCCTAACTAAAAAAATAAAAATTCTGAAAATAAAGAGAAAAAAATTTAAATAGCCATTGAATTGGTCAACAAGAC